GAGCTGCTGAGTGCATAGCTCTTCCATGTCTCTTCGCTCGCGTCGTCAGTTAGCCTCCGCTCACCAGGAACCCTGCTAAGGATGTGTCTTATGCCGCTGCTGTTTTGGCCGGGTTGTTCGGGGACAACCAGTTTAATGATGACACGCTGCGCATGTGCAGCTGCCATGATTCCATGATGTCGCGAAACTCCGCAGGGGATCCCTTCAAAGGTTCTTACAAGATACCCCATGCTCTAGACACCCTCCCAAGTCAAGCAAGAGTACAGCATTGAAGTCTCTTTCCCCGGCAGTGCAGGTGATATGTTGCTTTCTGCTTCCCTCACCCTCCAAACTGAGACCTTGAACCCACGGCTTGAGTGTCAACGCGGTTATAAGTTTTCTTTCAAAGAAATTTAAACCCCTGTTGGGACTCACCCCGTGGGCTTGGAATGTGAAGGAAGCGAAAAGCAAAATATCACCTGTAGTTACTGTAGTTGATTTCAGTCTTTTGCAATTGTCACCACTTTTCAAGATATTTTTTCATTCTCTAATTATGGTGTGTTTTGGGGTCACCATTATAAGGCGGCCCCTAATATCTACGGTGCCCGTCATAATTTTGCAGAAACCAAGTTGCCAAGATCCTCATGGAAGGACCTCCTGCTCTTGGGCCAGTGACCTTGGACAGCCATCCACCCAGACGATGCGCTCTTGAAGGGTTCGCTACCGTGGCTCCGTGGGTCCTAGCTGCTGGTCCGAGCTGGACCGTGTGCCGAGCTCCTTTTCTCCGAACTCTTGGTCGTCGCAGTGGCAGCAGACCTCCTCGCGCTCCACAATGGTGCGTCGACAGGCAGCCAATGCAGCTTACCATTGGTAGTGGAGCTTGCAGACGATGTGGGGTGCTTCGACTCAATTAATCAACACGACAAGACTTCTGAACACCGACGCGAACTTGAACAGGTGACCTGGAGAAGCGACTGGAGAAGAACTGCCGACCAGCTAGAAGTTGTCAGGGAATTTCAAGGGGGGCGGTTGATGCTACACATATCTTGCACCGAAAGCTGGTGCGAGACTTGACCGGCAGAGCCTATAGGAGGTCCGGTGTTGAGATCGACCGTGCCAAGCGCACGATGGGAACGCGGGTGAGTACGCCACTCAGCAACTTTGAGGCCTGAAACCTCCGACTCGCAGACGCCTATTGCACGATGGGGAGGAGTTCTGCAGCGCTGGGGCCCGAACTATTTCACAGCCGGGCTCCCAGTCCCAGCACTTCCCAAAACCGCAAAAGCCCCTTTAGAGTTGAAGCGATCGTGACCTGCTTATGGTCTCACGACAGTGGGAACATGGAGAACCAGATGTGTTTGCAGCTTTTGGGTCTGAAGCCTCCAAAGGATGGGAATGGGACAGCTTTTTGCAACGCCCAGCCTTTCGCAAAACCAGCAGAGAGACAAACTTGCTCTTCGGCAGCCCAGTTCTTCTTGGTTTATGGATTGGTCGCTTCGGTTTGTGACAGGTTCCGACTTCGCGGCTCGTAAAGCAAACATTCGCGGTTCCGGCAGCTCGCTGGAATCCGCTCCGGTTCGCGTTGGAGGAGAGCTCCATCACGTTTCTGATGAGTTCTTTACAGGCGTTCTATGAACTCTATCCCGGGGCCTATCTTGGGGCCTGGGGCCATTTCTACCTTATCCTGGGGCCATTTCAGCCTTATATCTTGGGAGTCATATATCCCTGTCGTGGTCGATCCTTATTCCGAGGGCTTTCCTTGAGGTGCTCGACGAGCCCTTAGAAGTCGCCCGACAAGCCCACAAGCCCTTCCAAAAAACACGCCCAAAACGCCCCAAAAGCACTCCCAAATGCAGATATTTCAGCCTTACGTGGGGCGGGGTAAGAGTGAAATCCGGGGCCGGGGGTTACAATGAAATCTCGACTCTTCTTGGGGGAACTCAGGATTTCAGACTGACCCAGAGGCTCCTATGCAGTACCTTTTTGGGTAGTGTACTAGAATCCCCTTGAACGAAGCCAAAAAAGAACTACAGTATTGAGCCTTCAGGTATTTTCCCTGCCCGATTTCGGCTGAAATTCTGACTGATATTTTGGCCATTCCGGCACCGTTTCGGGAGCCAATTTTGGTGTGGATTTTAAGGTCATTGCTGGGACCTTGAGAGACACAGGACCATGACTCGATTAGGTACTGTAGGATAAGGAGTGAAAGTGTACCCATGTGTGATATACTAATGGCTTCAAATCCCCATAGATAAGAGTGAAATGCACCCCCAACGCAAGATTGAAATCCCCAAAGATAAGAGTGGAATGCGCCCCAAAGTAAGATTGAAATCCCCAAAGAGTGAAATGAGCCCAAATATAAGGTCGAAATCCCAAATCATAAGAGCGAAAGATACTCACGTATAAGATTGAAATTCCTGCAAAGGAAACGTGTTGCAGCCCCGTCCCAAGGTTCGCGGTTTCAGTTTAGCTCCTGTCTTGTGCCACGTTCGCTTTCTTTCCTTTCATGGTATAATCGTCTAGTCGTTGTGCTTGTAGAGTTTGTGCTGCCAGTCGCAAGCGATGTCCTCTCGTCTCGTCGTCCTCCCTCACGTTGTTGCCGACTTCGTCGTCTTCCTCCAGGTCCTCGTACGTCGTCTTCGTTGTATGGGCGGTCTGCTCGCGCAGCACGACTTGCGCATGAGCCCATCGGACATGTTTGCGCACATACGGATTATATATATATATATAGGTCATTGCAGGAAGTGCTGCTGGTTGCTCGCTTTTGCTCAGTTTGCTCAAGATGGTCATTGCCCGAGTCAGTCCGAATCTGGTGAGCAGCTTTGTGAAGACTGCGAAGGCCACGCCTGGACAACGAGCAGGAGTCAGATGATTTATATGTAGGGTGCAGGATCCTTCTACAGTGTTAAAATCTTCAGGGATGGGGTAAATGCGTTTTGCGCCGTCGGTTTTTTCGGGGTCTCACACCCTAACCCCCAGACAGACCTTGCACGGTCAGTGTAGGTTGTAGGCTATGGAATGGAAAGCCACGAACTTTGGGAATGTCGCCAGCATGGTGTTGCCTTACGGTTTAAGAATGTACGCGCAATTAGGCAGGTCGAGAAGCTTTTTGTTCAGGGTTTGGGCTCTACGCGTTCAATGATTTTAAGAGTAAGCGTGTGCGCTCTCATACCCAATCACTCAGGCGTATTCCACTTTGGTATAAGGGGCTCTAGCAAGGGTTTGTGAGTGCTTGATGTACCAACCGGGGGGGGGGGGGGGGGGGGGGGGGGGGGGGGGGGGGGGGGGGGGGGGGGGGAGTGGGGGGGGTTGGGGGGGCGGGGGTTCAGGATCCCTTTGGATTCAATGGGCCTCTACATCCGGTGCGTTTAGGATCTTTGGGGGGGTCTATACTCTAAAGTATACTTCGTTTTTTTTTTTTTTTGTGTGTGCTTGCTTCTAACAGCCGAGTGCAACGCTAACCCCTGTACACCCTATACACCCTAAGCCCAAAAAATCGTTTGTGGTTGTAAACATACCTGTTCCTGGTTGTAGAATCAGGCTGTCCCCTCATCTGCTGTTTGTTGTTTTTTTTGTGGGTTCTCTGGTTGGAGTGGGCATGTCGGAGATTTATTCGCGTCTGTTGCTGGAGCCTTGTGCAGGAAACCACTAGTGTTGGCCGGATGACAAAGCTGCCACAGAGTGTGATACTTTGTGCAGAGTCCTAAACCCTAAACCCTAAACCCTTATCTGCCGCCGTTTCGTGTCAGCAGGACCCGAGGTTGAAATTTAGTAGTGTCGAGGAGTAGTCTGCCATGGCAAGCATCGGCGGCTCCTCGCTAGGTGAGCTCTACTCAAAATGTGTTCAATTGGTGGCTCGGCTTGTGTTCATTCACCCTTTTGGGCTTGATCCAGCGGTAGGGATCTAGTTAGTGAGGCCCTTGGGACATTTTCTATTTTCCCTTCTTGGGTTTAAGAGGATCATATTTAGGAGAAAATTTTCATAGGGTTGTCAGGGCCATCCCAGGGATGGCAGTGAGATTTTTGCAGCGTTGTAACCACAGGAACAACTCGTAGATCTGGCAGTTGTGGAACTTGGGCACCCGGGCCATCCGTCCTGTCAGGTGAATGAGAACAAGATCTCCACGAAAAATGCCTTCGAGTTGCCGCTCATCGAGCACATGGATGACATCGTGGACTCCTTCATGGGCGGCCGCAAAGCCAAGATGAAGAGTGACTGGTCCCGAACTTGGGGGTCCTTGCCCTGCAAGTCCCCAAAACTTAAAGCGCCTCTCCTCAGGCATAGCCAGGTGTCCGCGAAAGCCTTATACTTCTACGTATACACTCAAAACTGTGGGCATGACCGGACAGGCAAGGGGTATACTTGTCTTATCGTCGACAAACCGACTGCTACTACTACTACTACTAAACTCCTAAGCCCCAAACCCCCAAAGCCCCCACGCAGACCCAAGCCCTCTAAACCCTAAACCCTAAACCCTAAACCCCAAACCCTAAACCCTAAACCCTAAACCCCCACACAGCCCAGGCCGGCAGGCCGGTGCGCGAGACCGGAAGTCGGCCCCACCGAACCCGGAGGAGGCAGAGCTGGAGAGCCGATTCCACGAGGTGGCCCCGTGTGTGTTTTTTATTTGATATATATATATATATATATTTTTATTTTATTTTTTTTTTTGGGGGGGGGGGGGTGGGGTGGGGGGGGTGGGGGGGGGGGATGTTTAGGGTTTAGGGTTTAACCAGGATGGTAGGGTGTCGAGGCACTAGAGGATGCACGCTTGTAAGGGACCTTAGTGGCTAGGGGCTACTTAGGTGTATAGGGACTATTTGAGGTATCTCTTGGGGGTATAGAGGGGAAGGCTCCCTTCTGGGGGTCCCTCATTTTACCCCTTAAGGGTTATGTGTTCGGGTCAGGTGGCTGAAGTCCTTGGTGCCAGAAGGTCTCGGGCACAGGGCTCGTAGGTCTTTAGAGGTTTCCGTGGTGGAAGGGTGTAGCCCTAAACCCTAGACCCTAAACACTAAACCCCAAACCCTAAACCCTAAACCCTAGAACCTCACCTTGGGTCGACTAGTTTAGTGCATGTAGAGCTTGCAAGGCTGAGGGTGCGATCACTCAAGACGGTTTAGGGTTTAGGTCTAGGGTTTCGGGTTTGGCGTTGAGGGTTTAGGTTTAAGTTTTTGATGTAGTACAGCGCACAGGGGGCAGAGAAGCACTTCGATTCCAGGTTTATCTTCCAAGGGCTTCGTGACTGAACTCTTATGGAAGGGCTGCATCCATGGTTACCCTATTTGCCTGATCCTTGCAGCGAGAGCCTCCGAGCATCCCGAAAAAAGAGCCATCCAGGGGGGGGGGGGGGTTATCATAACCCATCGTGGTCTCGGATACTGGCTGCACCTTCCCCTGAAGCCTGAGCCCTAAATCATACCAAACGTCGACTTTGCCCTGAAATTGTCAAGTCAGCAGGCCAGCTGCACCATCGAAGCTTCTGCGCGCATCTACGCCTGCCGCGTGGACTGTGTCCACACGGACACGTATCGAGTGCTTGGCGGCCTGAATTCTGCAGACGCATCTTAGCTGCTACGGAGTTCTCTCCTTGTTGGGTCTCATTCTGTCCACTGCTCTGCCTGCAGGTGGACGCGTGGCCGCCCTCTACACCTTGGGATGTTCCCCCTTATACTAACCGTCCTTAATACGGATTCTAGTACACCCGATTGTATCCCTTCTTAAGGACTCGTAACAGGGGCAACATCCCAAACTAAACCCTATAAACCCTAGCAAGCCGAAGGCTTGCAGCAGCTTGCCATGGCCTTGGAGGTTCATGGTACTCATGAACCAATGATAGCAGCACTTCAAGCCCACTTCTATAAGGCCCTTATGTGCCCTAATCTGGTGATGAAGTACAGATTTCTAAGTACAGTTATAAGTACATTTCAAAGTACAGTTATACTTGGTTCAGAAGGACCATGAACCGCCAAGCAAGGCAAATGACGAAGATGGACAGCCCGGCGAGGATGGGAAGCCGACCAAGAAGAGGCGGATCTGCGGCGTGAATACCTTGGAGCCTTGGGCTGGTTTAGGGTTTAGGGTTTAGGGTTTAGGGTTTAAGGTTTAGAAGTCTCTGATGGATACCGAGTCCCCCCCCCCCCCCGCCCCCCGCCCCCTGCCAGGCCATTTTGCTTTATTGTGGGGGTGGGGGGGGGGCAATAGGATACCTCCGTGGTGTTTGTAGAGTACTAGAACAAGAGAGAGGAGAGAGAAACAAAAACAGAGAGGGTACCCCAACAGAAGGGAGTCCGATTGGGCTTGTAGGTGGGCCAGTGCAGGCAAGCGCGAGCAGGGCTCCGAACCCCAACACCTTTCGCCTTTTGTGTGTCCTGAGCCCATTGACAGCCTGGGAAGGGGGGGGGGGAACTTTGCTAGTAGGGTACAGCTCCGTTTTGTTTTGGGCCTATAAGCACCCTAAAGGGACCCTGAAACGCTTCGGTTCTCAGAAGCCAGGGTTTTTGGGGTGCATTTACCCTTTTTGAGGTACGAAGGTTATTCTAGGTAAGCCCCAAACCCTAAACCTGAGAAACCCTACGGGTAGTGGTGGGTAGATGTAAACCCTAAACCTGAGAAACCCTGCGGGTAGTGGTGGGTAGACGTAGGCCAAAGTTGGTTCAGGGTGTAAAGTCGTTGCTTTGTTTGGATGGGGATGGTGTGGGGATGTTGGGTGTCTCCTTTTGGAAAAGCCTCTTGGCAACGCAGCCTGAACTATTCAAAGCAGGTTTGAGGGTTGAGGGTTGGGATGTTCCCCCTTCCCCTTATACTGACAGTCCTTCAGCCTTATATTGCAATCCCGTTTAAGGACAGTTTGTATGAGGGGGAACATCCCGAGTTGAGGGCTTAGAGAGTTTCCGGGAGACCCTAAACCCTAGACCCTAAACCCTAAACCCTAAACCCTAAACCCTAAACCCTAAATTGCCCGACAGAGGAAAGAAACGAAGCAAACCTCGTGCAGTCCAACATCGAGGCAGACGAGCACCTTGCCAGCAGCAAAGTCGTGCCCGTAAGCCCACCTGTCTTTTGAAGTTAAGCCCTAGACCCTAAGCACTAAACCCTAAACCCGTATCCTGAACCCTAAGGCCCGACACCCAAGGAATCGCAGCAAGCATTTTAGGGCCACAGCCGATCCTCCTCAACTTCGATGTCCTTCAGCCACCATCCGCCTTTGCCTAAACCCTAAAACCGAAACCCGAAATCCTAAGCCCTGACCCTTACCTAGGGCTTTGGGGTTCAGGGTTTAGGGTTCAGGGTGTAGGGTTTAGGGTTTTTTGGGTGCCGGCAAGCGAGCTGCCGAACTGCTCGCGCCTTCTAAGGCAGAGCGACCCGATGTTTCGGCGGATGGCTGCTGCCTTCGACGCTGGCGGTGCCAAAGGACTGGATTTTACATAAGCTCAGACAACGTTCAGGTGTTCAGGGTGTACATAGGGTTGACCCTGAACCCTAAACACTAACCCGAAACCATTCAAGCCCTAAAATGGGGTCTGTTGGGGCTTTCAGGCCCTGAAGGGTCATTGGGTTGAGATGTTGAGATGTTGGTGGGGGTTTCTGGGTCCTATTTTGCATATGCTTCTGAGTCGGCTGAGGGCGAAGGCCCGGGGCCCATAACTGAGGGTCCAACCAACTTCTTTGTTACCAGCATAGTTGGTAGGCCCTCGGGATGTGTTGTTTTTGTTCTCTGAAGTTGTGGGAAGTTTAGCGTTTCCCAGAATAGGGGTGCCCCGAAGATACCTTCCCAAAATGCCAAAAAACCTATCATGTGAGCCCCCCCCCCCCCCTAAAAAAAAAAAAAAGTAATGAGTAACAGACAAACAAAAATAAGGGGACATCCCTAGTTACGGGAACCCCCAGGTAGGCAGATGCTCGCTACCCTATATACCCTGATTCCTGAACCCTAAACCCTGTAAACCTTTAACCCAGGTCGCTCCCAAACTCCTGATGCTTTTCGAGGACTGCTTCTCAGCCACCTGCCACTCGCAGAGGACGGGCCGTTGGGGTCTAGGGCTTTTTGGGTTTAGGGAAAAGGGCGCCCCAAAAAAGCCGTGCCCTGATCATATTCTTGTCCCCCTTGCGGCTCTTTGCTTTGTCTGGCCTGGCTGCACGCTCGTTTCTGCGGTGTTCCCTAAGGGACCCATGTACCTGTGTACATGCTTGGGCCTGAAAGTGTTGCTATAGTAGTTTTAGGGTTCAAGTATATATGCTATACGGTCACTTATCCCATTGCGGCTAGGGTACGTACACAAAAAGGGACCAACATGTTGAGAACCGACCATATAGGGGTACCTTATTGCCCTCATTATACGGGAGTCCTACTACATAGGGGGACTATATTGGGGCCCACTTACTCTCTTAAACCCCCGTACAGGTACATCGACCCTTTGGGAAAGCACGACTATGATCTCGAGAACTGACCATATAGGTACCCTGAACCCTGAACCCTAAACCCTAAACCCTAAACCCTGAACCCTGAACCCTGAACCCTAAACCCTAAACCCTAAACCCTAAACCCTAAACCCTTAGGGCCTTGGGGGGCGGGAAGGGTTTGACCGCAAGGACATGTCCCTGATCTTCAACGGCGACGTGAACATTTCCAAAGCCAAGGCAGCTGCGGAGGCCCTTTTCCGTAAGGACCGCCTAGGGTTTAGGGTTTAGGGTTTAGGGTTTAGGGTTTAGGGTTTAGGGTTTAGGGTTTAGGGTTTAGGGTTTAGGGTTTAGGGTTGGGGGTTGAGTGTTGAGTGTTGAGGGTTTGAGTGGGGCTCCAAACCTGGAGCTTGAACCTATGATGCACAGTGGCCGCTTACAGTACGATTCTGGACTTAGGTACCAGCTTTTCGTAGCTAGAAATGCGGAATGTGCTGTTACTGTAAGGCCCTCTGGGCCGGAGTATTGAATTTTAACAGGAAATGATGTGAGGTCTGGAAGAGCATGATGACAGGCCATACCACAGGGGGCGCAAGAGCGCACGTGTGCACCCCCGAAACTATCGATGAACTCCCCTGCTTGGCGTCGAAACCCAGCTCCCTAACCCTAAACACTGAACCCTAAACGTGACCCTTGTGGGTGCTAGGACGGGCGATCTTTTCCTGCGGACTCTCTTGGGCTTGGAGAACCGACGTCGGCGGCCTGCAAGATCGAGCAATCCAGGCAGGGTTTAGGGTTAGGGTGTAGGGTTTAGGGTTGAGGGTTTAGCGTTTAGGGTTTAGGGTTCACGGTTCAGGGTTTATTGCGCTACGCATGTGTAGCTGCAGGACAATTGGCTGCCAGCCTAAACTCTATTAAATCCCAAGTTCTCAACGCTAAACACCTACACCCCCTAAAGCCCCAAAGATCCCTCAACCCCCAAACCCTACAGCCCAAGTACCAATCCTCGGACCCCAGCGTCGTCCCTCATTCAATGCGTTTTTCGTGGGCTGAGGTTCCATTATCAACCCCGTTCAACCAACAAGTGCACCCACATTATTCCGAGGTTTCCCCAAACCCTAACACCCCAAACCCTAATTCCTAAAACCCCAAACCCTAAAACCCTAAAACCCTTAAGCCTCAACCCTAAACCTTAAACCCTAAACCCTAAACCCTAATTAAACCCTGAATCGCTCTTCAGGTTGTGCCCTGAATTGGACAGCTTTCGGCGCCAGCTTTGGGGAGAGAGTTCCTTCACAATGCCGCGACTTGGCCCCTACCCAGGCTTGGTGTCTAGGGTTTAGGGTTTAGGGTTTAGGGTTTAGGGTTTAGGGTTTACGGATAGAATGGTAAGCTTAGAAAGCCCTCGTCGCTTGATCGCGCTAGACCGAGACCTGATACATTGCCCTAAACCCTAAACCCTAAACGCCAAACCCTAAACTCTAAACCCTAAACCCTAAACCCACCGCAAGGAAGGCATTGGAAGAGTTGCTGGGCGTCGCGGTCCACGCAGGGCCCGGGACTTCGGAGGCCTTGGCAGCTTGCTCACAGCCACCCCCGGCGATGATGCCCGCCTGTTGGAGGTTTAGGGTTTTAGGGGTTGTAGGGTCTATAGCTAGGCTTTATAGGGTTTATAGGCTTTATAGTCAGGGGCAAACCGATCAGGACGGCGTATGGGGGCGGATGGCACACAGCCTTCGGCAAAGGCCGTCGAACCCCCCTAGCCTTCGTCGAAACCCTTGGCCTTCGTCGAACCCCCGTCCCGGCCCTTGTGGCCTTCGTCGAACCTCCGGCGTTCATTTAGCCTTCGTCGAACCCTCGCGTTTTTTTTTTGGCTTTGTCTTGGCCTTTTGTATCGGCCTTCGTCGAACCCCCTCCCCCTTCGTCGAACCTCCCGGCCTTCGTCGAACCTTCGCCCGGCCCCCGGGCCTTCGTCGAACTTCGTCTCGGCCCGTTGGTATCCCGAGTCTTCGCCGAAGTTCCCCGGCCATCCTGCTCTTCGGCCATCCTGATGTGTTTTCCCTTTATATAGGGTTTGTAGGGTATACAGGGTTTACAGCCACCCCCGGCGATGATGCCTGCCTGTTGGAGGTTTAGGGTTTTAGGGTTATAGGGTTTATAGGGTTTATAGGGTTTATAGGGTTTATAGGGTATTATAGGGTATATAGGGTTTAGAGCTTGTGGGCTTGACCGCCCTGGGTGCAGGCACCCGGCGATGATGCCTGCCTGTTGGAGGTTTAGGGTTTTAGGGGTTTTAGGGTTTTAGGGTTTTAGGGTTTTAGGGTTTTAGGGTTTTTGGGGTTTTAGGGTTTTAGGTTTTTTGGGGTTTTTGGGTTTTAGGGTGTTAGCGTTTTGGGGTTTTGGGGTTGTAGGGTTTTTGGGTTTTTGGGTTTTTGGGTTTTAGGGTTTTAGGGTTTTTGGGTTTTTGGGTTTTAGGGTTTTTGGCATTTGGGGTTTTGGGGTTTTGGGGTTTTAGGGTTGTAGGGTTTTAGGGTTGTAGGGTTGTAGGGTTTTAGGGTTGTAGGGTTTTCAGGTTTTAGGGTTTTAGGGTTTTGGGGTTTTTGGTTTAGGGTTTTAGGGTCTTAGGGTTTTTGGTTTTTAGGGTTTAGGGTTTTGGGGTTTTGGGGTTTTGGGGTTTTGGGGTTTTGGGGTTTTGGGGTTTTGGGGTTTTTGCGTTTTTGGGTTTAGGGGTTAGGGTTTTTGGGGTTTAAGTCTGGTTTAGGGTTTAGTGGGGTGTGGTGCTTGTGATGCTTGTGGGCTCGGAGGTCCTGGGTGCAGGCTAGGAGGTCAAGGATTTCAGTCCTTGATAGGACCGGCCATGTTTGGGAAGGGATCTGTTATTTGAAAGGTTTGTAGGGTTTAGCCTAAACCCTCTATCCTAAACCCGCATCCCCGCTGCCCCCCCCCCCCCCCCCCCCCCCCAGAACGGAATTTTGGGCGTCTATTCGACGACCGAGCTGTCTTTTGGTGCGCAGGATCTGAAATTGCGGCTGAGTATGGCTCGATTCACGTTCTTGGCTTGCTGCTGTCTGGGTATCCTCAGTTCAAGGGAATAAGATGCAACAAATAGCTTGAACCCGGGCCCACGCAACTCGGTAGGTCAGCATGTTTGATTGGGTTTTCAGCTTCGTTCGCATCAGATCGGAACTAAGGAACTGCCTGCAAGACGGGCTAGATATTGATAAAGGTCAAGTACGTGGAACTCTGCAAACGAATTCGAGCACGCAACATTCAGAGTCAGGAGCGTGCTTGATCAAATGACAAGATGACCTGACCGGCGTGCAGTTTCAAGCTTGCTTAACATCACACCCCGCTGAATTTATTCATCGCGCTAGTTGACAGTAAGCGGGCTGAAGTTGGATGCCATGCAAATGCCCGCCATGGATGGGAAGTAGGACCGTTGAATCCTAAACGCTAAGCCGACGATGTGCAGACAGGCATACAGGTTGGTGTGCTTGTGTGGGCCCTCCAAGACTTCCTGGAGTCCTAAGCGCAGAAACTCACTCAATTTTTGAGTGAGGAGCCGCGGAGGTTGCACCATTCATCCAGGAACCTCCTCAACCTTAAACCGTCAACCCTCGGGCCTAAACCCTAAATCCTAAATCCTAAATCCTAAACCCTAAACCCTAAACCCTAAACCCTACCCCCAGGAATGCCTTTGAGCCGGAAGTTGACATGCCAGACTTGGGGCCACCCGACGAGGATGTGTGCAGCGCCGTGGAATCCAGCACAGCGCCGCCCCCTGGACCTTGATTTTTGGAATAATATTTGGGGGGTTCCGAACTAGGGAGGTACCTTATTGGGGTCTTTGTTATAAGAGGATCCTCATATTTGGGGGTCTACCTTGGGGGTCCCCCATTTTCGTAAACCCCCATTCAGGGTTTTGGGTTCAGTGTTTTAGGGTTTATAACCCCTAGGAGTTGAATTTACGGAGCAGCCTCCGAAATCCGCCCAGGTCGTCCGAGTCTCGCAACCCCCCTGTTGGGCGCATGGGCGGAGAGTCCTTGGTTCCTGTGGCTTGGTAGCGCAGTGGTACCCTTTTCCCTCTTTTTTTGGTTCTGGGTTCCCTTATAAACCAACCCAAAAACGGGTGCCCATATTTTACTATGGTTACTGGGCTACCAAGGTGGGTGAGATGCATGAGATACAGGCATCCCAGGTGCTGGCTGTTCCCGGAACAAGCAAGGCGGACGTCGTAGCCTTCGACGAGCTCTTTCAGAAATTCTGTGGGGCAGGTGGCTCGAATCAGTTTGCCTATTTTGAGGAGTGCTGGTCCAAACCAGGCCGCAAGAAAGCCGGCAAGGCCAGCAACGGTGCCCTCGCCGACGCCCAGGAGGGAGCTCTTGCGCCGGTGGAAAAGGAGGGCAAAGAGCCGAAGGAGCGGCAACCGAAGCGGCCCCTCTTCGACCCTTTGCCGGTGCTAAGACTTGTTTCCGTCGTTTATTTACTTTTGTTTTTGTGTATGGGTGTTTGTGTGTGTGTGTGTGTTTTTGTTGTGTGTGCGGGCGATTTGCGTTCTTTGAAGTGGGGAGTGATGGGAGGGTGGGATGTGGAGTTGCGTTTTCGGTTCTGAGTTTTGGACACGAAAGGACCTGGCCAACTTGGACAAGGCCGCCAAGCCGATTGAGACCGAGCCGGTTGCCAAGCATCAGCTCAATGAGAAGGCCACCCAATGGCAACTTCGCAAGGACGTCCCGCCGTCCCCGAGTGGCACTTGGAACTTGTGTTGCTTCGCTCCTAGAAGACCTTACAGAAGGGTAAATATACCAATAATGCGAGGACACTTTCTCTTCAAGGGTCGGCTACATAAACCCTAAAAGCCCAAACCCCGAACCCTACAAAAGTACATCGACACATCTCCGAGGTACATGATCGATCGGATCACGATGCCGAGTTGGCAGACATGGTCGAAGGTCTGCTTTGGCATGTGATGGAACCAATCCCTAATACTAGGGGCCTATGTAATGAAATGGTCCTGGTCGTTGCTTGTTTTGCATTTCTTGAATTTCATAAAGGGGGTTATCAGCGGTGATCATATAGGCAGGAGCCTGTAGTAAGTTTTCGGGTTTAGGTAATTTCCTCAGGTGTCTTTTGAGACATAGCGACGACATGTTTCCGGCCCCCTGCAAGCCTTGCCAGTCAAGCTTGGACACCGGGCCCGAATCATCCAAGAGCAGCCCAGAACCTAAAAAAGGGATGTGGCGATACACTTCGTAGTAGAGTAGGCAGCCGTTGACCTTTTTGGGGTCCTATATTAATATTCCATGTATAATCCCAAAGGGTACCTAATAGTTCTCCTAGGATACTGGACAACTAGGTGCACAACAAATACCGATCTTTCCTTCCAAAGGTGCATAAGCTTCTCCAACCTGACTCTAGCCTAAGCTTGCCATCTCCAAACCCAGGGTTCAGAATCGCTACTTAGGATTGGAGATCTGAGCTAAACCCTTTGTGGGAACACCCGCAGGCCCTAAGTAAACAAAGCCGGCATGTCATAACAGGAACCCTCTGAGTGACCTGAAAACCAGAGAAGCTTCCATGTACAGTCGCCCTGAACCCTACACTCTAAAACCCCGTTAGCCTTCATCCATTGGACAGGTGGATTTTGCGTGCTTGGGTTTGCGCCCTCACCTCATGCTCAAGTTGGTCAAGAAGCCGCCTCCTTCGGGCGAAGGCCCTCACGGCTTCTCCGATCTATTCTCTACCGTGGTCGTGGAGAACACAGAGGTCCGCCGCCATGCACTTGTGTGTTCCGCGTGGCACGCATGCTCGCGCCCTCAACCGACAAGGCATGTGTGTAAAGGTGCCATTGGTAATGCAGTGCAACTTAGTACAAGTGCAGGTCTGTGTTTACTTAGCACACGTACCACATGCCTGCTTATGATGTTACGAACCATACATGCATCAAGCGAACGAGGCTGCAAACACCACGCGCCATGCGCCAGTCGAAAGTTTAGGACCCTAAACCCTAAACCCTAAACCCTAAACCCTAAACCCATTTAGGCCCGCACCCTCAAAGCTTCCATGGGCTTTCCCTATGAGAAGCCGGAGGTGATGAGGACCTTACGGAGGCCTAGTGTGTCCCCGTGGTTCGCTTTCCATACCCTAAACCCTAAACCCTAAACCCCTAAACGCCTAAACCCCTAAACCCTAAAACCCTAAACCCTAAAAGACTAAACCCCTAAACCCCCCTAAATCCCTAAACCCCGAAACCCTAGACCCCAGACGTCCCCATTCAGAAGCTGAGGCCTTCCCATGGTTGGCTTCATCCAAGCCTGGGCGCAGAGCTGATGCGGCACAGCCGCACCATCCTAGACTCTTTAGGGTCTCTAGGGTCTCTAGGGTTTGGGTTTGGGGTTTAGGGTTTAGGGTTTGTGTTTAGGGCTCTTTGGGCTCTTTGGGCTTTGTAAGGTTTATGCTTTTGGGCTCTGGGGCATTTAGGGTTTAGGGCCAGTTTAGGGCTCTTTAGGTTCTTTGGGCTAATTGGGCTTTTGGGGTTGATGGTTTTCGAGGTTAAGATGCCTAGGACCTCAACTGTACATCTGTTTGGCTGGGGCCCTTGTGATTCAAGCACATTTTAAGTTTAGGTCGGCTGTCTGCATCTTACCGGTGCTCGTTTGGGGTTTTTCGTTTGGGGTTTAGGAGTTCAGTTCATACACGTCCTACTTCATCTTACTTGGGCCAGAAGCGAACTCGGTACCTGATATCCCCTACAGTACCATTGGAGGGGTCTTTAAAGGGAGCCACGTCCTCAGCTCCCCTTCTACGAACCCATAAGTCAGCGAAGCGAGAAGTGTTTAAATGGAGGGCGCCAACTTCTTCGCTCTATTGGCCTCCTTGCTTGACTGACAAAGACACCTTTTTGCTCCCAGACCCTGAGCTCTCCGAGCCTAAGGGCTGTTATTTGCTTAAGAACCCACCCAAAAATCAAAGATGACAATCCCTATACTGCCATTGTAAGGAAGGACCCTTCTCTAGTTTTTTTTTTTTTTTTTTGGGGGGGGGGGGGGGGGCGTGGTGGGTTCTTAAGCCATTAGTCAGTCGTAGGGTGTCGGGATCAGGGTGCAGTAGACAGCTGAGGATGGCGACGAGGGATTTGGCATTGGCGACGCGGCTGGCGAGGCCCAGCATTGTTTTGGTGAGCCCGTGGCTTGCCATCGGGGTTCCCTAAACCCTAAACCCTGAACCCTAAACCCTAAACCTTAAACCCTATAAGCCTTGCTAGGGTGTAGCGGCTCTTGGGATATACTTGTTGTGTCCTTAGTCGGTCGAAGAGGATCTTGTTTAGGAAAGGTTTTTTTCAGAGGGTCGTGAGGGCCAACCTGGCTATGGGTACCTTCCATTCCTTGAGACATCTGAAGTCAGACTGTTCCGATCTCGAGTACTTCTGTTCCTCCTGGACTCCTAGATGTCGGCTGCATCGCTGTTGGGTTTAGGGTTTAGGGTTGAGGGCTTAGGGTTTAGGGTTTTGGGTTTAGGGTTTAGGGTTTAGGGTTTCTTTAGGGTGGCCCCGCGGCGCAGTTGGATCTCTGAGCGTCCAACCGATGACTTGGCTGCGTGCCTGAACCCAAAACCCGTCCTTAGTGCACCCAGAGGGTTCATGTACTGAATATGGAGGAAATCTGCCGAAAAGGGCGCTGAGTCAGGGACAATCAATATGTAGACCCTTTCTTTGGCCGTCAGGAACCCGTGGCAAGCCCGCATTTTCTTCAAAGGCCCTTGAAGACTCTGCTTAGTGTAGAGTAGGTAAACCTTTCACCTTTTTGGGGTCCTGTATACCCTTTATAATCCCAAAGGTTAACCTTTAGTTCCCCAAGGATACTGGACAACTAGGTCTCTGAATGTGTGGAGGACGTGGCTAAACCCTAAACCCTAAACCCTAATCCCTAAACCCTAAACCCTAAACCCTAAACCCTAAACCCTAAACCCTAAAGACTCTAAGAATGTGTTGAGGACGTGGCCGAGGACTTCGACGGCAGCGGCCTCCCCGCCCATTTGGATGTCGACCCGCAGGACGTGACTCTGTTGGGGCTTTCTCGGCGATTTTAAGGTTCAGACGAGCTTGGGGGGTGTCTACCCAAGCCCTAAACCCTAAACCCTAAACCCCAAATCCTGATCTCTAAACCCTAGCCCTATATACTCTAAATCCTATAGGGTTGAGGGCCGAAGCATTTCAGGACGATTTGGGATTTATCAGCCTTAACCCTAAACCCCAAACCATAAACCCAAAACTCCACGCCGTAAGGCCCTACTAAGGGCCACAGTGCTTCAGCCATGCGACCCAGCAACACCCTAAACCCTAAATCCTAAACCCCAAACTCTAAACCGTGGCTCTCACTTTCCTTTGCACCATCGGAGCCCGGTTTAGGGTTTCAAGGTTTAGGGTTCTGGGCTCCAGGTAGGTTAGGGTTTAGGTTTTAGGGTTAGGGTCTAGGGTTTAGGATTTAGGTTTTAGGGTTTGGGTTTAGGGTTTGAAGTTTTCGGGTTTGGGGTTTAGGGTTTCGGGTGTAGGGTTTAGGGTTTAGGGTTCAGGGTTCGATGTTCACAAAGGAGCTCTTCCTTGGGCCGAACGACAAGGCCGAAGAAGCCCCAAACATCTCCCGGAGCCTCTTGCCCCAAACCCCCTAAACCCTAAACCCTATAAACCCTAAACCCTAAACCCTAAACCCCCCTAAAGGGCCAAAACCCCCAAACCCTAAACCCTAAACCCTACTCCCCTCCTGATATCCCAGAACTTCCTAAGCTTGCAGAATCCCCGACTCCCCTAACCCTAAACCCTAAACCCTAAACCCTAAACCCTAAACCCTAAACCCTAAACCCTAAACCCTAAACCCTAAACCCTAAACCCCCAGCACCCCTACAACCCAGACCCTGAACCCTCGGAGAGCTGGTTTAGTTGCTCCTAGGACCCCAGATCCCAGGCAACAAAAATGTGGTGATGAACTCTTTTCCAGTCTTAGTAATTATTGTTTAGGGTTTAGGGTTTAGGGTTTAGGGTTTAGGGTTTAGGGTTTAGGGTTTAGGGTTTAGGGTTTAGGGTTTAGGGTTTGATTTATGACTGTCATCATCATTACTGCTACCAATATATGAATGTATGATCAGCATGAGGCTTGTGGACAGAAGGCTTGAGGATGTGAGTGGAGGTTTGGCACGGGGTCAGGTTGAGGGTTTGCACCTTTAGTCGTACTATGGGGCGAGGCAGGATTGGATTCTCGGCTCTACTGAGGCTTTTAAAGCCATGTGCTCTTTTTTTTCCGGGGGGGGGGGGGGGGGAAACCCTGAACCCTAAACCCTTAACCCTTAACCCTTAACCCTTAACCCTTAACCAAGCCTTGCGCGCACTGTCTCAGCGTGCGTCAGACCGTCGAAGGATGGTTTCTCGGTGAGGCGACAGGTAGCCCACATCCAACGCCCGAAACCCCTCCCCTTGAAGCCGGAACCCGCACTGCAGGAATCAGATACCCTTATACTAACAGTCCTTAATAGGGATTAAAACGAGGGGTACTAGAATCCCCACTGAGGACTGTTAAGTATAAGGGTGAACATCCCAACTTGAGGGTTTATTTAGCGCAGATCTGAACATCCACAGCACTGCGAACCCTAAACCCAAAACCCTAAACCCTAAACCCTAAACCTTAAACCCTAAACCCTAAACCCTAAACCCTATTTTTCTGAAGGTGCTACCTGGCGGTGACGGTGACAACCTGGGTGACGTAGGACCCTTGTCTGCAGCGTCTGAGGCAAGCCCGAAATCCCAAGAAACCAAACCCCAAACCTGACAATGCCCCCCAACCCCAAAACCCTTACCCTAAGCCAGAAACCCCAAACCTCACACCCCCAAGCCCGAAACCCTAAATCCTAAACCCTAAACCCTAAACCCTAAACCCTAAACCCTAAACCTCCAGGTATGGAAGATGTTTCCGGCACCTTCATGGAGGGGGGACTCGACTTCGAGCTCGCTGAGAAGCCCAACTCCGCGGAGAGCATCGACATCGCCGCGGGCTTAGGGCTTAGGGTTTAGGGTTTGGGGTTTAGAGTCTGAAGGTTTTAGGGTTTTGGGGTTTTAGGGTTTAGGTTTTAGGGTTTGGGGTTTTGGGTTTGAGGTTTGAGGTTTGGGTTTAGGGTTTTAGGGTTTTAGGGTTTAGGGTTTAGGGTTTGGGGTTTGAGGTTTGGGTTTTAAGGTTTTACGGTTTTGGGGTTTAGGGTTTAGGGTTTGGGGTTTGGGGTTTGGGGTTTGGGGTTTGGGGTTTGGGTTGTAAGGTTTCAGGTTTCAGGGTTTTAGGGTTTTAGGGTTTTAGGGTTTTAGGGTTTAGGGCTTAGGGTTTAGGGTTTTTGGGTTCGGGGTTTAGGGTTTTGGGGTTTTAGGGTTTTGGGGCTTTAGAGTTAGACTTGTGTAGGACCCTCAATTGTAGTTTCTTTTCAGGGCTCAGGGGGTTAAAACCACGATGCCCAGTAGCGTTCAGCGGGTTCTGTTCATTTGCGAAAACACCGTCAGTATTCTGGTAGGGTTTAGGGTTTCGTGGGCTCAGGGTTTCAGGTTTAGGGTTTATAGGGTTTCGGGTTTACGCATATTTTGCTACCTTGCAGGCTGCCTTCAGGTCCCTTCAATGCATTTGCTGTGGTGGCCCCTTCAGTAGTTGCTGAGGCTGCTTCAGGCTAAGGGTTGAGGGCTTGGGGGTGTAAGGTCCGCCTGTTTAGGGTTTAGGGTTTAGGGTTTATAGGGTTCAGGGTTTAGGGTAATATGGTCGGAGTAGTTATGAAATGTATCCCCTCATAGTCCCTTTAGAATTTTGCTAGAATATCCCCCCCCCCCCCCCAAAAAAAAAAATACCCTGTTCTAATTATTGAGGCCCCTGCATTACGTATGTATAGTAGGGCCCTGATCGCTCCCAGTACTCGTCACTAGCACCGTATGGGGCTTAATTAAGCTAGTCAATGCAGACCTGTGGTTGGAGCCTGGAAACCTCTGCCTAAAGCTTCATGTGTTTTGGCCCTCAAACACACGCTAAACCCTACAGCCTCAACCTTCAACCGTAACCCTAAACCCTATGCAGGGGAAGTTTCTGAATTTCACTCCGTTGTAAGGAGCAGGGTTATTCTAATTGAGCCCGAAAGTTTGCAGGACTCTTGTTCCTTGGTGCCATTCGTGCAACAGAGCTTCGGACGGGAAGCTTTCTCAGCCCCAAGCCATTGCAACGGACTGTTGGGGCAGTGCGGTGTCGCTTCAGAAACCCTAATGAACCCTAAACCCCATAAGCCCTGAACCCTAAGCAATCGTCAGGCGCACCATCGTTTTCATACACTCAACATACCAGACCCTCCTTGTCAGGTTCGAGGCCCTAAACCCTAAGCCCTAAACCCTGTACAAGGGGCCATGGTTTAGGGTTTGGGGTTTAGGGTTAAGGGTTGTTTCCCTAAGCCCTCAAGCCTTAAACCCTAAACCCACTCGACTCCCTGAACTTCCTGAAGCCCTAAACCCTCAACCCTAAACGCTAAACCCTAAACCCTAAACCCTAAAAACCCTAAACCCTAAACCCTAACCCTAAACCCTAAACCCTAAACCCTAAACCCTAAACCCTAGCCTAAACTTCCCATAACTTCCCAAGCCTACAGAGAGCAACTGGGGGAAATCAGGCCTACAGCCGCAACTCGAAGTTTGTGGATGCATCCTGGCTTGCAGTTCGGGTTTAGGGTTTAGGGTTTAGGATTTAGGGTTTAGGGTTTAGGGTTTAGGGTTTAGGGTTTAGGGTTTAGGGTTCAGGGTTTAGGGTTTAGGGTTCAGGGTTTAGGGGAAGCTTCCAGCCATCGTCCTTGCCAGCCGGCCTTTCTGCTCCTAAACTTAGAGGCCCTTAACTCTAGAACGCTGAAACTCCAAACCTTGCATCCTGATGCACCTCATAACCTTGGGAAACCCAAAGCCCCAAATACGCTATAAGACCCCAAACCTGATGGGAGGGCTCGCCCCACCCCGGCCAACCCATGACTCCCGTCCCGCACCCCTGACTCCCCTCCAACTCGCCCCTTGGCTTCGCCCCCTCTGGAACGCCCTACACAAGAATCTCCTCAACCCCAAACCCTAAACCCCAAAGCCTAAACCCCGAACCCTAAGCCCTAAACCCCAAACCCTAAACCCCAAACCCTAAACCCCGAACCCTAAGCCCTAAACCCGAATTCTTCGGAAGCCCCCCCCCCCTCCCTGTAAAAATGGCCCGACTCCGAGGTCAAGTTGGTCAAGAAGCATCTCTGGAGTTGCCTAGAGAAGGACTGTCCTTTGCTTTAGGGTTTAGGGTTTAGGGTTTGAACCCTAAGATTGGGGTCATATACCCTATACTGCTACAATCCCTATGAGGGTAACCCTAAACCCTAAACCCTAAACCCTTTTAAGGTATCATTGCTTGGGGCGAAGCTGAGGATGTTTCGAGTGTACGTGCACGCACCCACCCATGCACCCAACCCATGCACCCACACACCCACACACCCGCACAACCACACTCACGTATATCTATCTATATATATATGTATATACATACATACATACATACATACATACATACATACATACATACATAGACATATATACACACACGTATATATATATATATATACATATACATATATGTGTATATATTTATTTATTTATTTATTGATTTATTTATTTATTTATTTATTTATTTATTTATTGTTTATAATATCATATATCTGCATGTGTGTGTGTGCGCGCTCGTATCAGTGTCTATGCATGTGCACATGCATGTTTTTTGTGTATCAGTGTCTTTGGAGGACATCTCTGGGCTGAAGAAGGGAAAGGCAGAGGCCGATCGAATGGCCAACGACAGCTTTCAGGACTTGATCTCGCGAACAGCTTGCTGGCACGTTTTGGGGGGATTGGGTTTAGGATATAGGGTTTAGGGTTTAGGGTTTAGGGTTTAGGGTTTGGGGTTTGGGGTTTAGGGTCAGTACTGTGGTGGGACTCAGATCCGATCGTGTCTCTGTGCAAGTCTCCGTTATGGTTTGCGGTTGCGTGTCTTCGTTTGCTGACTCTCCCTTGCTCAGCACGTGTGCGGAGACCTGTGCATATAGGGTTTTCATGCACATATAGTATATATTATAGGTACCGATTGAAATAGGGTTTAGGGATTAGGGTTAGGGTTTAGGGTTTAGGGTTCAGGGTTCAGGGTTTAGGGTTCAGGGTTTAGTGTTTATGGGGTTCAGGGTTTAGGGTTTAGGTTTTAGGGTTTAGGGCAACCCTAAGGTCAGCGCCATGCCAAAAGATGAGTGCGAGAACCTCAGCGCCGCCGTGTGTTTCATCTGCGCCCTCCACCTCTGCAATGAAAAGAGCCCTGGACTGCCAGTTTAGGGTTTAGGGTTAGGGTTTAGCGTTTAGGGTTTAGGGTTTAGGGTTTAGGGTTTAGGGTAGGCTGTGGGCGGTGGGTGCCTTATGGCGACATGTCGATCTCGCAGGGTTCCATGCAAGGAGAGGGCGGGGGGGGGGGGGGGGGCGCTAGAGCCACAATATCGCCCAAAAACCCTAGAGCCCCAAACCCTAAACTCTAAATCCGAAACCCTAAACCCTAAACCCTAAACCCTAAACCCTAAACCCTAAACCCCAAGCCAATCTCAGGGCTCGGCAATTGGCCAGGGTGCACCCAACGACATCCCGCAGAAATATCGGACCCCCAAAAGGTTTAGGGTTTGGGGTTTAGGGCTTAGGGTTTAGGGTTTAGGGTGCTAAAGCCCCATACCCTAGGCTAACAGACCAAACAAGTCCGGATGGGAAATGCAGACCCAAGCTTTACCAACTCGGCAAGCCCAAACAAAGCACCGGCACGAACACGTCCAAAGAAAAAACGTCTACGCAACGAGCTGAAGCAAACAAAAACCACCTTTCCCGAAACCCTAAACCCTAGACCACCTCAAAAGCATGCAACTACAGCCCTGAATCCCAGTGAAGCCAGCACATTCGCTGTCGCAGCATTGCACCATAGTCTCAACAGTGCTGCGGTGCCTCTGCTACCAGAAGAGGGTCGTGCCGCAGAATCTCTAAAGACTCGAATGCCATCGTTGTTGTAATCTAGTATAGTCACATAGCATATTATACCCTTACTACGGCAACTCATTTTTGAATGAGCTGAACAAACATAGGCTCCTCTCCAAGAGCCCTACAATAGATTTGTAAATAATTTAGTGCCCTTGTATCCCTAAACCCGAAGCCCAGAAGCCCTCAATCGGAGCCAAGGAACTTGGAGCTCAAAACAGATCCTTCCCGGCCGTTGGGAGACTTTGCCATTGTGGCGCCATCGGCTGAGTAAATGTTGCCTCGTTTTTCAAACGCGTAGGCGTTTGGACTCGGTTCCGATAGCTAAGAAGCTTATGCCATCCCATCAAGTCGCCTTCGTGGCTGTGCTTATGGTGTGTTTCAAATGCTTGTATGGGTGTGAACGTGTTTGTGTGTGCCTTGCTTCTCGCGCCGCTAGCAGTATGTATATTCGGACAAGTCAGGTACAGTTACTTTAGGCTGGAGATTTCTTGTTCATACTGACTGAGATTCCAATTCGCGGCTGTTACACACAGTCCGCGGCTGTCAATTCGGGTCTTGTGTTCCACGACACGGTGGAGCATAGTGCTTTCCGAAGCATTGTATGATGATGTTGCCGAGCCATGAGCCCGAATGCCTAGAGTCCACACCCTTCACTTCAGACCCCTGGCCAATTTCGGCCCCAAGCCCCGTGCAAGCGATCGGACTTCTTGGCCCCTAAACCTTGAACTCTTCGTGGTAGGCGGCCTTTCGGCCATGCGGGAAAATGCTAAACTTACCGGTGCTTCAGGGTCCAGGAACCTGGGTCTGGGGTTTAGAGTTTAGGGGGTTTACGGTTTAGTGGCTGAATGGATATAGGTACTGCGACGCCGGGACATAGGTGCTGCTTCGGCAGTAGGTGTCTGGGTGGTTCTCCAAACTAGGGTAGGCCCCCTAGAGTATATAGTACGTCACCCTTAAGATAAGGACCCCGAAAGGGACCAACATTTCTTCTCTACTAAACCCTGAACCGCAAACCCCAATCCCATATATGGAATGATGTAGTCATTCTTGTCGCAATACAGACCTACTACATTTGGTTTATTTACTGACGCTATTGCTTTCATATGTGTGGCTGTGTTTGTGTTTCGTACTTGTATTTTCATACTTGTCCATGGATTTATACTCAGAATGGAAGTCATCTTGACTTTCCTCTCATGAATCCCCTAAACCCTAAACCCTAAACCCTAAACCCTAAACCCTAAACCCTAAACCCTAAACCCTAAATCCACCAGGTTACGTTACGCAAGTCCCCTAGCTCCTCTAACCCCCAACCCTCCCCACACGGGCCGAAGACGCTCCGGCTACGGCTACAGCGAGCCAACCATGAGAGCTTGGGGGGGGAAGTCTGTTTTAGAGGAGGCAGGGGTTTATTATTGTTTAGAGTTTAGGATTTCCCAGGGTTTAGGGTTATAGGGTTTAGGAACGGTGTCTCTTGTAACACTACAATACACCCTAGTTTGCCCTAGATCGCAAACCCGGTTTAGGGATGTGGGGTCGTTTGGGGTTTTCAACACAAGGCGTAATCTCCCCGCAGTGCCGGAATAGACCCTCAAATTATAACAACCCCTAAGTTCCCTCCCGGCTTGCTTCGGCCGGCCGCATACCCCCAAAGGTCAAAAGGCCCTACCCCGCAACCACCCGACCTGCAACAAAGAGAAACACTGGGTAAGCCCTTGGGATGCGTCTTAGTTTCCCTTATTGGGTTTAAGAGGATCATATGTAGGAAACCGCCTTTGTTGGATTGAGGCGTTATAGGGTTTGAAGGTCGGCGGCTTCGATATACATGTATCCATATGCATATATACATACATAAATACATGAATTGGACGTGTTTCTCTACCTTGTGTGTGATTGTTTGCATTTACAGAGAAGATGTAGTATCGGTCGTTTAGGGTTTTAGGTGTATGTGGCATGTGGGTAGGGATTGGAGGCTTTGGAGGACGTTGCCGCTTGAGTTCAAAGTTGAACGCCAGCAGACCTTCCACGAGTTCGGAGCCGCGCGATGAAGAAATATCCTATAAACTCTACTAACCCTAAACCTGTTGTCCTTCAGAAGTACGGACCTGCTACGAACTATTACGGTAAGCTAAGGCTTTACAGGGTTTTCGGTTAGGTGTGTGTGCCCCTCCCATGTTCTCTGCAAAGCTTCGAAGATGCCTGGGGTTTGGCGCTTCTGCAGGAAGCCAGGTGATGCGTGGGCCCCGCAACTCTCAAACAACGTGCTTAAAACACCCTAAACCCCATAATCCCTCATTGTTTAGGTTTAGGGTCCATTCTTCATCCTAGCGAACCCATCTGCCCAAGTAACGGAGACACGGGGGCCAACGCCGGCGCCCTCCTGCGCTGCTCAGGGATCTTCATCCCTGGGTACTCTCCCGACTAGCTGTCCTGCTGCGGGGAAAAGTCGGGCCTCTGGGGTTCGGGCTCTACATAGCAGAATTTACGAAAAGCAGGTACCCCAATTCTGAACCCCAAAATAGTTCATGTTTGGGGAGGGCCCCCTTATAATAAGGACTCCAATAAGGTACCCCGATCATCGCACCCATATGGTGATTTCTCTAAATTATGGTCCCTGTTGAGGTCCATATTATCAGGCGGCCCCTCTTATTTGGGGTACCCAAACTAGAGAACTCACCATATCCTGCACCGAGAACTCAGGCACCTTTCCGTTGCCAAAGGGCGAAGAGGTTACTGCGGGTAAGCTGCCAAAACCCTGCAACTAAAGCCCGTTGGGTTTAGGCTTGCCCTAAACCCTAAACCCTACACCCTAAACCCCCAATTGGGTAGGTTTGCGTGGGCTTAGGGGCTTGTGCATGGCGTGGAGCAGTCGGCTATCGTGTCGAATTTCAATGTAACTTCGGGACAGGGTTCGGAGGTGTTTTCGGGTTTAGGGTTTAGGGTTTAACTTTTCTTTTGGTTATGTAGAATCCTGCTCTATATATATATGTATATATTATGTGTATATATATATATATAAACGCTGAAGCTTCTTTTCGGCAAAAGGGTATTCAGCCCCTCAGTCCCTCTCCCCCCAATCTCACAGCTTAGACCGGGAGCAGGTCAGACGGATCCTTTTTGCACAGTCCTTAAACCCTAAACGGCCCTAAACCCTAAATCCTAAACCCTAAACCCTAAACCCTAAACCCTAAACCCTAACCCCCCCCCCCTCCTCCGAAGCCGCAGCTATGAGGACGTCTGTCACTGGGCAGAGGATGGCCTGGTCCTGCCACCGCCGGAGCCTGCCCAGCAGCTTGGTTAAGGGTTTAGGGTTTTTAGATTTAGGGTTTAGGGTTTAGGGTCTAGGGTTTAGGGTTTAGGGTTTAGGATGTAGGGTTTAGATTTTGGGTTTAGGGTTTTTAGATATAGGGTTTGGGGGCCCGAAAAACCACGACAATACAAATAGCCATGAAAAATAGTTTGGGGCCAATTTAGTCATAAGTTGGTATTCCTTGTAGTTACGTACTTCATGTCAGAAGCATGTTGGAAGGTGGAATGTTGGAGATAATTTCAGTTTTAGGATGTAGGGTTTAGGGTTTAAATAGGGCACTGCTTGCTTGAGAGTGCACCGTGAACGCGAGCAAAAGCCAGCAAGTATGTGTATCCTTGCAAGGGTCGATGCTTCCCTAAACCCTAAACCCTCAGCCCCCTAACCCCTAACCCCTAACCCCTAAACCCTAAACCCTAAACCCTAAACCCTAAACCCTAAACCCTAAACCCTAAACCCTAAACCCTAAACCCTAAACCCTAAACCCCAAACCCTGGCCCTAAACCCTGAACCCTAATCCCTACAAGCCCTAACAAGCCCCTCAGATGCGTCGTTGCATATCCCTGGAGCTGCGTTGGGCAGCCGATCTTCACGCAGGAAGCCCCGAGTGCGGCGTAAACTGCCAGGGCTTGCGGTTGAGGCTTTAAGGTTTAGGGTTTAGGATTAGGGTTTAGGGTTTAGGGTTCAGGGTTTAGGATGTACCTAGAGGCTCCTATGTAGTACCTTTTTGGGGTAGTTTTCTAGAATCCTCTGTAACTAACCCAAAAAGGGACTACATTGGACACTCCAGGTAGGGCTTTGGGGAGATTATGTTTTCCCTATTGGGTTTTTAACAGGCTGCTAGTGAGGAATACTTTTTTTGGAGGGTTTCAAGGGCCAACCTATGAGCCACCAACCCTGATTCGCGCCTCTCTTGACCTGTGCTCCTTTCGTCTGGGTTATATACTGTCATGGCCACAGCTCGTAAGGGGTCAACAAGAAAAGCACGATGTGCCCGATGTTGAGTAGGCGAGGTCGGATGCTTGGATTGGTTTAGGGTTAAGGTTTTAGGGTTTAGGGTTTTATAGGGTTTAGGGTCTAGGGTTTAGGGTTTATAGGGTTTAGGGTCAGCTTGTCCTCGCCCATGATTTTGCGCATTCCCGCTACCGCCCCTCTCCAACGTGTTGATGTTTCCGACAATCAATGGAACGTCAAACCGAAGACCTCAAAAGACCAACCCGTGTACGTATGCACGCAGACCATACACCCATTGCCAGGACGCGCCTGAGATGATAGATGCGGACGTGTGCCTTGCAAGCCAGGTGCTGAGACAACCCGGCACACACCTTTCGGGTGGGGCTGTTTGAGGTGAGGGTTAGGGGCAGATGGTCAGGGATTAACTCGGAAACCCTACATCCTAAGCCCCTAAACCCTAAACCCTAAACCCTAAGCCCTAAGCCCTAAGCCCTAAACCCTAAACCCTAAACCCTAAACCCTAAACCCTAAACCCTACGCGGAGCAAAGCCACCATTATGAGGTTTGTGATGTGAGAGTTGGGAGGCCTGTGTTCATTTGTTTGGTTTTGTGCCTTAGAGGGACTCAGGACATTTTGGGGAGTGTAGATTTCTCAGGGGGCCTGGAAGGGGTTTACAGGGATTCAGGGGGCTCGTTTGCTTGACTCCGGGCGAAGTAGGGAGCATTTCGGGGGATTCCGAAAACTTAGAAGAACCATGGGGGGTTGAGGGCTTTGGGTTTAGGGCATACCGGGGGGTTCGTGCTTTCAGGGGTTGTGCCAGGGAGGGTCGATGGGACGCGTTCCATCTTCCGAGCTGTCCTACTGCAACTGGGGAAGCTCAGCAGCCGTCACGTTCAGATGTTGCACGTGACCCTGACCGCAAAACCCCTAAACCCCTAAGCCCTAAACCCTGAACCCTAAACCATAGACCCTAAACCCTCAATCCCAAACCCTAAACCCTAAACTCCCCCCC